TGCTTACCTTTCTCCCACTCATCTCTTCTTCCTTCTACTCTCTCAAAATACCAGGAAGTTAACTAATGAAGTTTATGCTTGCACAAGCCCCTTCCAAGGCTCTATCTGGTCAAGTCCCTAGAAATGTGTCTTCGTGGGTATGTTTTTGTAAAGTCTGCAAAGGTAAGAGATTTTGACCACGTGATCAAGACTCTCATTCCCCTTAGTCAAATTCCCCCTCATATCTGGTGGTACTGTGGCTGCAGGCATTTTTGGGATTGAGCCACAATGAAACTAAATTGGGGATACAGTAGTTTGGGTTAACATGGCCTATTTATTGGTTTGCAATCACTTCCACATCTAGATAAGTTGTTGGTCCCTGTCCTGGTATAGAAATGGCTTCTAGGAATACTTTGCTGATTCATCCTGCATGATGACATGAAGAGGTAGGGCTGAAGGTCACATCACTATGTGACGATGTCTTATAGCAAAGGGTGCTGGAAGTACATGGGTAGTGAGGGAAGTACACAACAGTAAGTAGAGGCTTCAGTTCTCATTGGTGCCTAGTCAGAACGAAAGGAATATTCTCGGTAATGCAGAACATGCAATTATAAACACAAAGTTTTCCTCTTTTGAAGAGAATCTTAGAAAATAGAAATTTTCAGGACTCCTGTATTTATAACCTATGTTTATGATATTAATCAGCTTTCCAGTGATTGTAGTCTGCTGTGATTTCTTTTCTCATTCTAAATAATCACTTTCATACCTAGAAATAAAAAATGGCAGCCATACCATACATAACTGTTTTGATGATATTCCCAACTATATCTTCCTGATGTTTACTTTTATTTTATCTTGTAAAATATGAACATTTGGGCTACTTTGAGAAATAGCTAAGAGGCATTTATCCAGCAGATCCTTTTTGGAGAGAATAAAAATGATAATTTAATGTATTTATTGCCAGTGGAGCTGTTAATGAGTTATTTTCTCTGCAAAAATGAGGGAGAAGTGATGGGCTATAATGTTCCTCTGGCCTAACTTTAGCAAAATAAAGCCACTTTATTTTTCTTTTACTTACTTTAAACAAAATAAAGTCACTAATTAGAATCATGCTGGGTGAAGATTGTTAATGACTAGATCTCTTATTCTTCTACCTTAGGTCACATTGAAACAAACATATTATCTTAAGAAAGAAGAAAGATAGGTACTCTAAAATCTAATTGAAATATATATTTCTCAAGCACATTTTAAATACCATAATTAAGTGCCTAGTCCACTTAGAGTAAAAACTATTGTGTTTTTCCTCAAAGGATAATGTTTATTTCAATCATAGTTTCTACCCGGAAGGCACCTGCACCATTTTCAGGGCTGGCTTTAACATTTAACACAGTGATTAAGCCTGTACTTGTTGTGGTAATGAATATATATAGGCTGCCTGAAGGTCTAAGTATGAATTAAATAACTTGGCATATTCTGGATGCTTCAGGGCAAATTTCTTAAAGTCCTTGTATGAAATGGACTCTGAGTTCTGTCCAGCTATTTCCTGAAAGAGTCTGGAAACATCAAGATCTGGCACTCCAAAAGCTGCCTGAAGTATAGCAGCTAACTCCTGTTCTGTTATGAAACCATCCTCATCAAGATCAAAAAGCTTAAATGACATTTGCAGAATCTTTTCAGTGTTGGCAGAATTGCATAGGACAGTCAGACTTATCACATACTCTCTGAAGTCTATGCTGCCATCATTATTCCTGTCAAAGAAGGCAAAAAGTTGTCTCAAGGGCTCTGAAATTGGGAGTTTTAAGTAATTTGCAAACTCTTCAATTTCTATCTTCCCTCCTTTTGAGGCAATTGCAATTGCAGCATATTCATCCAAATGCCGATGAATATTATCCCAATCTAACTTCAATTTCTGGCTAATTTTTGTGAATTCCACCAAACCAGCTTCCATGGGTAGTTGAAGGTCACCTGCGGAAATCATCAGTCTGCAGTCGCCGTAAGTGTGGTCTGTCACAGGCACTCCCAGAGCATTTGCCATGTTGATCCTCACTGAATTGGCAAAAAGGACCGGGTCTTTTTTTTCTTGGTCATTTGGGATATAAACAGGCATAAACTCAACTTCTACCCTGGTGAAGAGTTGACTCAGGGTCAACACACAGGCCTGGAAGCCTGTGAATCCCTGCCAGGTCCAGGTCACCGTGTCCAGGGTGTTTGGGTACCTGAGCAGCACCGGCTGCACAGGGACACCTGGAGAGAAGGCTCCTAGCTTAAAAGTGACCAGACACGTGCGATTGGTACACACTCCTTCTGGGAAAATCAGAATCTGTGGCCACTTCCTTTTGGATGTCACTCGCTTCAGGATTTCATTCCGGGTATTCTTCCTGGAATTGGGGTCCTCTCGGGTCACAAGCACGGGCTGTGTTGACAGTAGGAATTTCCCAGCCACGGGTATCTGCGCGTTTTGACTTGCCGAGACTACCGAGGGTAACCCTGCCACCACACAGGCGATGGCGTCAAAGAAAGTGGAGTGTGGCGCTGTTACGAAGATGGGGGCCTCGTCTCGGGTTGCCTTTTTCCCTTTCACTTTAACCAGGAACCCTGCTAAAAAGAACGTCGCCTGAAACAAGAACTTGAGGGCTGATTGCACCAGTTTTCTTCTCCAACTCACGGCGGGTTTGGCTGGTCGAGTGGAACGGCCCACAGTGGAAAGCGCGGCCGTCGGCCAGAGGAAGATGAAGAGGAAGGCGATGCAGGACACCCGCACGGGCACCAGCACACTCCCGGTGAGGATGATGTAGGCCCAGCGCCACGCACTGATGCGTGTCTGCTGCACGAAGGGGTTGGCCACTGCTGGCGGGTACAAGGACTTGCACCTCCCCTGGCTGAGGACGGACTCCCACACCACCATCTCCGAGTCGGAGGACGGCCGAGCCATGACGCCAACGTTTCAGTGGTCTCAGGGCGCAGGTAGCTTGGATCTGGGGGCGGACCCCGCAGCGCACCCCTTCCCCATATTCAAGTGGTCTTTCTGTTCGCACATAATTAGAACTCTTAGAGGCATTCGTGGGTTAATAGGAAATGATGTATTACTTTTAAAATCAGAAAAATAAAAAATGGTAAATGATGTAGAATTAGATGTAACATCTAATTGTAATACTCAATTAGAATCATATCAACAGTACAATCTTTTTTGCTTTCTGTAAATGGCCTCCTTTTGACATATATGCTTAATAAATTATTTTCACATAATTTCTGACGTTTATGTTAAGCATACATTATATACCTACTAGGGAAATATTAATTTAAATAGATGAATATCAGTTACGACTTTTTAATTTAAATGCCATTACCAGTAAAGTTTACTTATGGTGAGATGCTTTGGTAGCTGGTAAGTCAAGTTCATTTACTCTCCTTACAAATTGATTTCCACAGAGACAGTAATATCTTTTTATGCTAAGAGGTTTAACTGATGGCACCCTTGAGCCCTTATGTCTGTTACAAGCACTCTTCCACATCTGCTGAAAATTAGACTACTTCCATTATCATAGGCCAGAATTAGCCATGGCACCTTTGATTCATATTCTTAACATTAGTCCATATGAACCAATCAGCACTCCAAACCGATATAAGTAACAACAAACCTTAAAATCATCTTTATCAGTAACAGGTTTTCATCAAAATAAGTCAGAATTACTTTATTGCACCAACACACACAATCAATAAAGTCCTGTTCCTTCTTTTGTTGCTGCTGTTTGGAAATGATGAAGAGGGAAGCATAATCAAAGTTGGTGTGAACCAGGCTCTTTTCTATACCTTGCAGCATTTGAAACTCTTGACAATGCTATATAGAATATTCCTGTGTTTGCTAATTGCTAATTTAAATTCCTTTTCCCAGAATTAAAAGTCAAACTGTAGGTTTCTGAGAGATGTTTCTATTTATTGGGGCACACCAGGTTACCAATAAAATAGGAAGAACAGTGTGGACACCAGAGCCTCTTAAACAGAACGTGATCTAAGTGGAAAGATTATGGGCTTTACAACCAGATGGATTTAGGTCAGATCCTGGTTCCAACACTTACACTGTGGGCATTGGCCACCCTCATTTTCACATCTATAAATTGGTGATACTCCCTACCTTGCAATGTTGTTGCACAAGTATAATGTATTTGGAAATTGGGCTTTTATTAGTAAATACAAGTTGCTAGGATACAATGAAGAGACTTCTTAGGGACATTCCGCTTTCTTCTGTCACTATCAGAACTATGCTTGGTGAGAGAAACATTCCGTTCATCAACTTAGTCTTATCTGGTAACACAGTGATAGTCTCTAAGGAACCATGATTTGGCAATGTTACTTGTTGACTCCCATGCCAAAGAAGAGCAACCCAAGGGAATGAGTAGTAGTCCCTTGAGCTGGTATCTTTCTCTATTCTGTAACTCTTCCCACTCTTATTTGTAATGTTCATTACTGCTCTTGAACCTTGTTTAATTTAAACTGCATTCTGTGCATGCTTCTTAAGGGAAAGTTCCATATTACCATGTCATCTTTTTTATATTTCCGCCACAGTGCCTAGCAGTGTGTCAAATATATTATTTATTCATTAAGCAAATATTTGAGTTCCTACAATGAGCCCTTATTCTAGCTGCTGGATATATATGTCAGTTAATAAGACAATAAAAAAATCTCTGCCCTGGGGAGCTGAGATTCTAGTGCACATAGGAAGTACAGTATTCAATTCTTGTTGTATTGAATGGGGCAAGGACATTTTATCATTTTTCTAAATCTCTCGCCAATTCAATTGGAGAATTAAGGCAAGTAATTTAATGGATGTGCTTCCCTATTTTGCAATGTTATATATATATATATATATATATATATATATATATATATATATATATGAGAATCTCCACATCATCTCTGGTTAATCTTCCCAGGAAAAGTAGTATTTATGGCCTATTTTAACAATGTGTATTCATCTGGTCATATTTGCCTTCAAACTAATAAATATACTATAAATCCAAAGATTTGACAATAGAATTTTTAATGGTTAAATAGTAAAAAGAACTATTGAACTATAAAATGAAAATTTATACCATTGCAGGTTTGCCTTTTAACATGGCACAGCTAATCTTTAATAAACATCTGTAAAAGGCACCATATGTTAACAAGATAAAGAACACAAGAAACCAAAACTGAGCCTCTTTCTCCAACTTCCTTTTTGTACAAGTGTATATATTTTAAGGCAGATGCTTTTCTGTGCAAAATACAACAGAAGAAAATCAATGTTATGTTACAAGTTCACATATTCTCAGATTTTTTTCAATACCATTTGTCAGGGTATTTATTTATGATAAAGTATATTAAAACAACTTTTCCCAATGAAGCCTAAAGGAGTTGGTGAACAATTTTTACAAATTATTTAGAGATTTCATTACAGACCCCTCATAGAAGACACAGAAAAGTCAATCTTTTTTTCTTTTTTCTTCTTTCAGAAATGTCCATATCAATTTGTTCACTATGTCAGGTTGTTCTTGCTGAAGCCAATGACTGGCTTCTGACAAAATAGTTAGCCTGAAATAGTTTTTAACGTAAATCTTTGTGACTTCAGCCATCTCAACTTCCATAAATGCGTCTTTCTCTCCCCACAGTAGTAGTGTTGGAATGGTCACCATGTGATGTCTGAGAGGCAGGCAGCTATAAAAACAAAACATATGGGCTTGAGACTCATTGTAGAAGTTAAAATAACATTATTCCATAATGTTCTTTTAGGCCACACATTCTCAGAGGGGGCAATATTGCTGCCAGAGGGGTGAAAATTGGTTCTTGGGTGAGTGAAAAAAATCTTACTCTTCTTATATAGAAACCATGGATATACATACAGTACATAAACAGATATTAAAATTTCATGGGGTAGGGGGCAATTAGGAAAAAAATGTCTAAAAAGGCTTCTTAGGGAGCTGATGATGAAAAACTGGTTGAGAAACACTGCATTAGGCAATCAATCTATACAATAAAAAATTTAAAAGGCTACTTAAGAAAGGGCCCAATATAATTTTTAATTGGATGAGGCAAGCAAAATTTATAATGAAGGCTATAAATTAAATATGAAATTCATCACTGTGAGGAATAATTTGCTTTAAAAGGATACCGGAATTTCTGAATGGTGTGGTGAAAGAGAGCTTTAAACGGTGTTACCGTTTAACTATATTTTAAATTGTTAGATAACCTAATGCATTTTATGTGAAAATTGGAACTGAAAAGTCAGAAAATATATATGAACTGAGCTTTAATATTACATGATACTATATTTATTTTCCAAGAAAATTCTTTTTAAAACATAAAGTTATTATCACATATTTTCTTAAATACAGAAAAGTATAAAGAATAAAATCATGCATAATTCCATCATTAAAAGTTAACCTTTTGGTCATTTTCTATGCATATATTTGAAACCATACTATAAATACAAGGAAATAAATATATACAATTTATACACAGTATACATATGCAATTTCATATTAAATTATAACTTAAGAACTTTCTCATTTTATAAAGTTTTTCAAAAATAATGTTTTTGTTTTAAGTGATGCTATAATGAGCATTTTGTGCCCAAATCTTTGTTCGCATTTCAGATCATTTCTCTGGGCTAGAGTCCTGGAAGTGAAATTCCTGAGCTAAAGAGTATAAATATTTTTAAAGCCTTCAACACCTTCTGCTACACTGTTTTTCAGAAAGGAGGGATAGTGTTCATTACACTCCTGTTAACTAAGAATGAGTATGAACATCTAACTAGACACCCTCCAGCACTGACTTACATTTTCACTAGTTATCAAAAAGCTTGACTTGTGGTTACTTGGGGTTGACAGGATGCTGCTGGAATGTGCAGGATATCACATATGTCCACCAAGGACTTAACTTTGATCCCATGCAAGTGGCCATCATTTCGTTGTAATGCTCCTAAAAATTAAGTTCTTTATGAATGGGTAAACTGATAAAAAATACATTCTATACTTAATTATTGATACATGGATTGCTATACAAACTTGCAAGCCACTTAAATTCTAGAGCTCATAAAATATTCAAAAGTAAAACATTTTCTAACAGGTATACATATTTAACAATATCTGAGCATGTAATAATTGAATGAGTAAGGGGAGTTTAAAAAGACCATCAGTCAAAAAGCAAAAAGAAATATAAATTCTTCACCCAATCAAATTGGGGATAAAAGGGAGGAGTTTCCAGAAAACTAAAAGAAAAGAATATTCTCTGGTCCTGAGGTTTCAAATTGCTATATTTCACATGAACTATAAATTACATATAAAAAAAGTATGTACAGTAACTATAGTTAATCACATTGTATTGCATATTTGAAAGTTGCTGAGAGTAGATCTTAATTCTTTTTTTTTTTTTGTGAGGAAGATCAGCCCTGAGCTAACATGCGTGCTAATCCTCCTCTTTTTTTGCTGAGGAAGACCGGCTCTGAGCTAACTCTATTGCCAATCCTCCTCCTTTTTTTTTTTTTTTCTCCCCAAAGCCCCAGTAGATAGTTGTATGTCGTAGTTGCACATCCTTCTAGTTGCTGTATGTGGGACGTGGCCTCAGCATGGCGGGAGAAGCGGTGCGTCGGTGCGTGCCCGGGATCCGAACCCGGGCCGCCAGCAGCGAGCGTGCGCACCTAACCGCTAAGCCACGAGGCCAGCCCACTGAGAGTAGATCTTAAAAGTTCTCCTTACAAGAAAAAAATTTTTATAACTATGTATGGTGATGGATGTTAATTAGACTTATTGTGGTGATCATTTCACAATATATACAATTATTGAATCATGTTGTACACCTGAAACTAATATAATGTTATACGTCAATTATACCTCAATAAAAACAAATAAGTAAATAAATAATAAAATAAAACAAAACATTAAATATTTTAAGAGGAGTTTTAGTATGTTAAGCAGAAGAACTTATGGGGAAGCATTTGATAAAATATTTCTGATTAAAAATGATTAATCTTAGTAAGTATAGAAACAATTTGAAAAATCTAAAAAACTGTAACAAGTCGTAACAATTATTGCTCTATATTATCATTTAACCTGTCAAAATGTATTTTAACATACCTATTTCAAATTAGCGTGAATTTAACATGTGACTCCTCCAAATTCTGAGTTATCAGCTGATTTGTAAGTATTAAGGCAGCAATTTCCAGAGTGTTATACACTCCATCATTACTTTTGCAGCTGAAAATATTTCAGTACTTTGATTAAAAAGATAATGTAGAAAATAATAACACACATACCCACCCTCAGCTCAAGAAATAAAACACTGCAAATATAATTACATCTTTCTGCTTACCTTTCTTTGATACCATTTCTTTTCTTCACCTCACCTTTAGGCAGTGGTTCTCAAAGTGTGGTCACCAGACTAGCAACATCAGCATCACCTGTGAACTTGTCAGAAATGCTAATTCATGGGCCTCATCCCAGACCAACTGAATCAGAAACTCCAGGGATGGTGTCTGGCCGTCTGTGTTTTAACAAGCCCTCCAGGTGATTCTGATACAAGCTAGAGTGAAGAACCACTGCCTTAGGAATAATGACTAGGTTGAATTAGGTTCTTACCATCCACATGAATATTTAACCTTTTATTATATGTATTTGGATGCCTCTCCCCCATGCCTCTGGTTTCCTTAAGGAGAGATTTTCCTTAAGCCCTCTTGGATCCTTGCCCCACCCCGGGCTGGTGACGGTTGTTGCTTCAGGGTTCTGGACTAGGTAGGTCTATCAAATAGTATGTCCTGAAGGTAAGAGATTTAATCTTTTTCCTCCTCTCTCTACCAGATTGGTGGGAGGCAGTGATCTGAGGGGTGGGAGAGGTGGAGTTTGTTCTCCAAATTTTCCTACAGGTGAACTGCTCTAAAGTCTAGACCAGCAGTAAGGAGTTAGCAAGACCATTTCAGTTCTTATATTAAGCCATAGCCTTCAAGCTATCCTTTATCAGTAATGAAGGTGATATTTTGGTTTTCATCTGCTGACTCTTGTTTGATTTCTCAACCGGTTCAGAAATTGGGCAGGAGAAAGGGGTGCTATTTGTCAGATCCCCAAATACAGTACATATATTTCTATAAACAATATATAGAGGTGTTTTGCATTTTTAAACTTTATGAAATACTATCATATTGTACATATCACGCCACAACTCGCTTTGGTGCCTTAACATTATATTTTTAAGATTTATCCATTGGGGGCCGGCCTGGTGGTATAGTGGTTAAGTTCACACGCTCCACTTTGGCAGCCCAGGGTTTGAGGGTTCGGATCCTGGGCTCGGACATACGCACGACTCGTCAGGCCATGCTGTGGTGGCATCCCATATACAAAATAGAGGAAGATGGGCACAGATGTTAGCTCAGGGCTAATCTTCCTCAGGAAAAAGAGGAGGATTGGCAATGGATGTTAGCTCAGAGCCAGTCTTCCTCACACAAAAATAATAAATAAGATTTATCCATTGATGGTACATGTAGTTCTACTTCATTCATTTTCACTCCTGTATAGAATTCCATCATATGACTATACCACGATTGATTCATTCTCTTGTTAATGGACATTTAAAATTTTCCAATTATTTTGATAATTCCAATAATAGTGAACTCATTCTTTCACATGTCCTCTTGTGCACTTGTGGAAGAGTTTCCTTAGAGTATACCCCAGAAACAGAATTGCCTCCTCAGAGAGTATGCACATCTTCAACCTTACTCAATATTGTTAAGTTGTTTTCCAAACTGACTGTATGTTTCACAAGCAGCATATAAGAATTCACTTTGCTCCACATCATCGCCAACACTTGTTCTCAAAAGTTTAAATTTTTTCCAATCAAATGAGTGTAAAATACTCTGTTTACCTGATGTAGTAAAGACTGCTCCCCAAAACTACTTCTATTCCACTATAGTGATAGAAAAGCCAATTTTTAGCTAGACAAAGGACCACCCAGAATAAAGTGACTGCATTTCCCAGGCTCCTTGCAGCAAGGTGAGGATATGTGGTTTATGAGAAATCATGTGTGCAACTTCTAAGTTGTGTCCAGTATGCCCTCCCTTTCCCCCTTCCCACTTTCCACTGACTGAAATCAGACGTGGTGGTAAACCATCTTAGACCACATGGACAAGGGCAACACCCCAGGGATGGGAGAATAACAAGACAAGAAGTGCCTCGGTCTCTGACCAAAGAGTGACATAACAGCTTTGTCGATTTCATGAAATACAGCCGCCATACTAGCCCAGACTTTTACTTGTGAGAGAAATAAATTTCCACTTTTTTATACCATTGTGATTTTAGGTCTCTATTACAAGCAGTAAAACCTATGTTCTATATCTGACTACTAGTAAGGTTGACCATTTTTCATGTTATTGACCATTAGATTTCTCTTCTGTGAATTGCCTTTTCGTATCCCTTACTCATTTTTCGATTGGGCTACCTTTTTCTTATTAATTTGGAGGACAAAATTTTTGCCCTTTTAATGGGGTTTTTTAATCCTCTTGGCCCTGACTCCTGGAATATTTTTTTGTGTGCCTGCCAGCTCTCCAGGTACAAATAACCGGTGCAAAACACCTTCAATGCCTTATTTTTTTCTTGGACAATTGAGTAAAGCAAAGCTCAATTTCTGACAAATATCCCTTCAGGAGATTCAGTCTTATCTGGCCTATCTGA